GAGATACTATTTCTCCGAATCARGTATATCCCTTCCCTTCTCTTTTGGTTCAGATCTGGTTCGGTTTTGGTTCAAGTCAGATCCTTGAATATTGTATTCTAAATTTAGGGAATATGATTCCCAGTTGGAAGAAAGGTAAGAAATTTTTTAAATTCACCCACCCATTCTGCACCCTTTTGGCGTTCATATGATAGATCTTACCATTCTTTCATTAACAACTAAAATAAGGCACACATACTCCAATAAGTATAAAAGGAATTACTCTTCACTGGGTATTACTTATCCAAAATGATTTTATCTTTGTATTTATAGTAATAGCATCCTAAATTAAAATTTTCTACTTAACAAACAAAAAAAGTTATTGAAATGCTATAACTCATAGTATTTATTGTTCCRGTGATCCTTTAATATTGTGAACTTTCTTCTTTCTTTTTTTCCATATGTTTTCCATTTCTTTTTCCCATCAAAGTGGAGTGAAAGACAAAAAGCAAATTGTCGTTGTTAGTTTATTATCTATAAAAAATTTGCTATTGCAAGGCATGTGCACAAAAATCTTAGGAATAAGTTCCACGTTTGTGATTATCCTACTTAGACAATACAATCTACAAACTTCTGAACTTAGGAATAACCATTACATAATTCTAATAGATATGGCAGGTCTATATCCCATGCCCCATTGAACACACTGATTCCAACTGAATATTCACCACTACATTTAAATAAATAAGTAAATGAACAAATAAACATTTTCTCATTTTGAAGGAGCTTTGAAATGAGACAAAATTTGAAACAAATAACTTATAGTAGGCAAACATAAACATAAAATATTTTATTTACTAATTAATAGGGGTTTCAACAAGTTTAATAGGTGATTTAACTAGTTTAACAAAGGATTCAACAATTTTAATAGGAGGTTCAACTAGTTTTACAAGGGATTAAACAAGTTTAACAAGGGATTCAATGAGTTTAATAGGGAATTTCAACAAGTTTATATTAACCAAAGAATTTTTTATTTTACAAGAGATGAATATCTTCCTATATAGGCAAACATTATAGGAAATTAAGTTTTCTCTGTAATATGGAAAGATTATAGGAATTTCAACAAGTTTACATTAACCAAATAAATTTTAAAGGGGATTCCATCTCTTCTCTTCCTATCAAGAATGACGAATACCATATATTTTAGGGAATTAAGTATGGAGTCATAATAAAGAAACAAACAGAGAGATTTCTGGACAAATATAGACTTACATGAACATAAAAGGTAAACAATTTAGTTAGAAGCTAATATGAACCTGAAAAAATACCAAAAAAAAGTTTTTATATGAGTTTATCTTCACATCCATTGTTTAAACCTTACAATGGACAAAAACAATTGGTTTGGAACTTAGATCTATAAATGAACACAATCAATTTGGATGAACACATTTGATTTGAGCTCTAGATCGAAAAAAAGTTGAAAAGGAACATTCTTAAACATAGATCTACATCTGGACAAACATAATTGCTTTTAGTTCAAACTTGAAAAAAAAAAGTTGAAAAGGATTAGTAAACACAATCAATTTGAGTTCCAGGTTGGCAAAAAAAATTGAAGATCACTCTCTACCCTAGAACACAAATCTACATATGGATGAACACATTTAAGTTCTACATCAAAAAATAAAATAGATGAAAAGAATCAACCTATAAGTGAAATCTACTCTTACCTTGGATGTAATTCAAATATGGAAGGAAATACAAACGGTCTTCCCTAATCGACTCTATATCACGATGTATCAAAACCCTCAACAGAAGGATCCCACAAAGCAGATGGTAGATCTGCAAAGGAGATAGCAAGATCAATTCTATAAACAAGATCTGAAGTAGTGGTGGTGGGAGATGACCTTGCTGTGGTCGGAAACGGAAATTTGGAAGTTACCATTGGGAAGGACTTACCAATGAAGATGGAGGTCTCTCTCGTTTAAACAAACCATTCAACAATCTTGTTTACATTGTCTTTTCAAAGAGCACAAGTTTGTATCCAAAAAATGGATATGAAAGTGTACTTTATTCATGATATGTAAGTGTTAGAGAATACACTTTTTTCCTCCTTCACGATTCAAAATGTATGGGAATCAAATGCTCAGGTCACGATTATTTGAGGTGTAAATTTGAACTAGGGTAAACTTTACACTCCAATCCAATTTTGCTAGTGTTTAGATAGGATGTTGTTTTATATCACAAATGAGTGTAAAACTCCACTCTGGGCAAGTTTTAAATCGAGAATTGATGGAAAGTTACCACCGATAAAATCATTGTAAAACTCTATATTCTCAAGATTTGATGGGAACCTCTCTCTCTCTCTCTCTCCTTCTTCTTCTTCTTCTTCTTCTTCCTCCTCCCTGGTTTCACCCTCCTTTGTTCCTACCTGTCGCTGCAACTTCCGATAGTGGTGGTTCTCCACCATTTCTTCTTCTTTTCTCTCTATCTCTTTCTTTATCTCTTTTTTTCCATGTTTTTTTCTCTCTATCTCTCTCCTTCTTTGCATCATCCCCAACCATGCCCCTAGTCACTCTTGTTGTTGTAATTCGTTGTAGTGACGAACTCGAATCCAGTGGTGATCTCCTTCTCCCCCGATCTACTCTCTCTCTCTCTCTCTCCCTTTCTACCTCTCATTCCCACCATCTTTGTCTTTGATATCCCCTGTTTCATTTTCTTCCTCATTGAACTGGTAAAGCTCTTTCCATTGCTCACTACTACACCAAATTGGAAAACAGAGCACTGCCCTAGCCCCCACTGCTATTTTTTCTCCCAAACCTCTATTGAGTGTCACCCAATTCGTACCAAATGACAATCGTGTAAATCTTAAAAAATCAATAATAGTTCCCTTTTGCATCGTTTAGCGAACCAAAAGCCTCTAAAACAACATTATAAATATATGTATTACACCTAAGGATTAAAATATCGATATGGTACGCCTGATACGCCATTGTATCAGGGTGTATTGTGCAATATCGACCGATACAGTCCGATACGCATCGATACAGAAGCGTATCGAACCTCAATTTGACAACATGTGTGGATTTAATATAAAAAGTGCTACTAGCGTGACTTGAACCCAAGACCGCAACTCGCTTAGTGCCCAAGAACAATGCATCTTTAACAAGTCTGGATCTCCTGCCCACGAGAACTCTACTCACGTTTATCACAACCACATATGGAGAACATCTCATCCTCTACATAGTATTATGCAGGGGGAGATGTTCCCAATTTACGGGGGTAGTGTATTGTGGGTAGGCGTGGGTAGGAGATCCAGACTCATCTTTAACCACTGAGCCAACTTTTATTTCATGTCAATAAATGGAACACATTAACTTTTATTACTTAATATCTACATAAAATCCCAACAACCAACATACATTTATCTTCAAAAACTCCAATTACAAATTAAAAAGAATAATATTTAAAATTAATATTTTATAAACCAATAGAATAAATAATCTATCAAATCCACATTTATATCAAAAATTTGATTTTTAATTTAAAGAAATTTTAAAATATTAATAATAGAATAATTATTTTAATACTTAAAATTTACTAATTTGAACATGATATATATCTTGAATTTTTTATAAATTATTAATTAATATTTTAATTTGCACTAAATAACCATGTATTTATTATTTGCAAAAATAAAAATATTATTTATAAAATGTTTAAAAATGTAATATAAATTGARTCTATCAAATCCACTAATCTATATTTATATTAAAAATTATTATTTTTATTTTATAAATTTATAAAAATAAAAATATTAATAATGAAATAATTATTGTAGTAATTAAAATTTATAAATTTTTATATAATATGTATCTTTAAAATTTAAATAGATTTGATATATTTTAAGTTAGGATTATATACTTTTATAAATTGTCAATTAATTTTGATTTGCATTTTATAATAACATATTTATTGTTTACGAAAATGAAAATATTGTTTACCAAAATTTAAAATTTTGAGAATTAATTTTTAGTTAACATTTTTGTTAATGTTAAAAATTATAAGTAGTAAAATAAAAAAAATGATATAATAATTGAAATATAATAGTTGCATATGTTTTGTGCCTTGGACTTTAATATAAAATAAGATAATAATGGATTTGTGCATGTATTAATTTGTAAAAATTTATATAATAATGTTTCTTGGAATCTTGATTGATGCATATCAATAAAATTGTATGATATCTATGTTTTCTGCTATATTAATTGTAATATATTTCTTCATATATATCGTCAAAATATACAACCCTTATGTATTTATACATTATTTGTAGTTATTTTGACATTAAACCTATTGTTAGTAATATATTTATGGAATTAATATTTATTTTCTTAGCGTATCCAAGTGTTTTCATGTTTTTTGTCCGTATCCATGTATTTTCAAAGCATATCCGCATCCTTATCTGTATTTGAGTTATCTGATACGATACCCAATACCGATACTTTACTCCTTAATTACACCTAAAAAAATAGCCTCACAAACTTGAATCGGAGTACATAAATACCTCGATTCGATCTATGCAGCTTAGTTTGGAAAGTATACTTGTACCGTACATATTTGTATATATATTTGCATGTAGTAATAAATATGTATGTGCATTTGCACGTGGCATTTTCCGAACGTTTATAAGTGGGTAGTTTTTGAAAGATTATAAATGGGCACTTTATGAATTGTGAATAAAAAACATATATACCCTCTTTATGCCTGTTTTTGAATGCTTATAAGTGTGCAGTTTATCAAGTGAGAGAAAGATATATACACCCTTTTTATACCCGTTCAATGGTTAGACAAGAGGGATAGATAATGCCATGACCCCTCACCATCGGACGGAAGTAAAACAGCCCCAACCCAAATTAAACAATGATCCGATGCTCCCAGATTCTAAGCCCTAATCACCGTCCGATTGGTTCAAATCGTTGATTTTGGACAGTTCGGGATTTTCCTTACAATAAGTTGTTCTTCGGTTCTTCCTTCAACCGGGAGGCCGTCTTTCGCGTTCGCGCTCCGTACGACTTTACCTTTCCTCTTTCCACTGTGATTTTAATCTCTTCCGTTCCTCCCCTCCTCTATCTACTCTTTCCCCTGTGACCAACAAAAGGGAAGTTCGTAACGTTAAATCCAAGTTCTGATTCTGATTCTAGTTTGCGTTGTGGTATCACTCATACTCCTCCAGACTTCTCCTCACCCCCACCCCACGCCATCCTTCTTTTTTTCTGTTTCCCTTTCTCCTTATAATCCATCGAAAGAACTTTGATTGGTTTGTTTTGTTTATTTGATATGCTTGGATGAAATGAACCTGCAAACGTATATCATTTTGGTTTTCTACTTTGTTTTAGTGGAAAATTAGGTTTTCCCCTCTTAGATCCCGTTAGCTTGTCAGATGTTCTTCTTGTATGCGTTTGTATATTGATGCATATTAAGTCCTTCCACCACCCTCTTCCCGGGGTTTTCTTTTGGGTTTATTGGTGACTGATGGATCAAACGGGGTTTACGAGTTTCGGTTTCCTTTTCTCTCCCCATCCCCTCCAATTTTTTCAGGTCATTTGATCAAAATTTGGTCCTGAATTTGAGGTTTGAATGTTTGTGCTTGCACAGCATCTGTTTGGCTCTTCTTTTGAGTGGAATAGGTTGCAGATTGGTGCAGTTGTAACTTGTAAGTGCCCGAGCTATTTTTGATGGAGCAAGAGTTAAATCCACTAAGGTTTCATGTGAAGTTCTAGTGAATTCTTGAAGAGGGTATACCTAAATAAGAAGGTAGAGATGTATGGAAGAGCGGGTCTCGACAGATTTAGGAAAGCTCAGTCAATAGAGCCATTCTCTGTAACTCTTAATTCATCTCCTAAAACAGCTACGGCCAGCCAACCTGCTGGGAAAACAACTGCTCCGTCTTCGGTTTCATCCTTCCAGTCTCAGACGTCCCATCTGCAAAGCCAATTTCAGCAGCAACACTATGCTCCTCAAAGACCTGTTGGACTTGGACAGGAAACAACAGTGTCTGCCGTACCATCACAGCAAGTTACTCAGGTTGGTGGTGGGCAATCCACATGGCAGCCTCCCGATTGGGCAATAGAACCACGACCTGGTGTTTATTATCTTGAGGTTTTGAAGGATGGAGAAGTTATTGATCGGATTAATCTGGATAGAAGGAGGCACATTTTCGGGAGGCAATCTCTCATCTGTGATTTCGTGCTAGATCATCAATCTGTTTCACGCCAACATGCAGCAGTTGTCCCGCACAAGAATGGAAGGTTACATGTTCGAAATGTTTTTACGTTGTTCATTTTGTTTGGTGATTTTGTCTGTTTTAGTTCTTTGACATATTTTGCTTAAACTTTATTGCTTGGCTAGATTCTTTGTAATCTTACAAGCTTATTAACATGGTTGGGCATGCCATGTACTGACTTATCTTTCTGTTGATTTGGTCATCTGCTTTTTTTATGTCCCAAAACCAAAAGAAAAATGAACAAAGAGGAAGAGGAATCACTTAACCGATGGAAACTAATGTTAGATTTGATGTTGTCTTGGTAAGAACTTTAGTTAAATACTTAAATGTGTCTTTTCTGACACAAGCTCGAGAACCCCTCACTCAAAGTGGAAGATAATTCCTGCTACTAGCTCACTACTACTGTCCACAAGAATTGTGGGTTAAGTTTAGTGAGATGGGAGATATGTAATATCTGCTGGCTTCAACAATGAGTTGAAGTTATGGAAAAATGTCATACATTGGGGGGATATTAATTTGGCATGGTTATAAGGTTGTTTCTGCCTGGTATCAGATTTGCTTTCATTTTGTTTTGCCCCCATAAATGGTACACATTATATTTACCTATATCAAAAGAGGATTAGAGGAATGAAATCCTGACGATTCAAAATGATATGGTCCATGAGCAATGTTTTAAAACGCGGAGGCATGATGCAAGGCATTCCACTACCTAGAGGCGTGAGGCGTAAGCCTCCTAAACACAAGGAGCCGTAAGCCTCCTTAAGAGGAGGGGGGTCAAGAGGAAGAGGAAGGGGGATCTCATTTTTTCTTTATTTTTAATAAAAATCTTTTATATTAAGAAGAACAAAAATGCACAACACTATTTGAATGGGGGGGGGGGGGGGTTTGGGGGCTTTGCCCCCAGTCGAAGGGGCAGGGGGCAGACCACTTTCTTTCCCCTTATCTTTTCTTCCCTTCCCTTTCCTTTTCTTTTTTTTTTTCTTCTATTTCTTTCTTTTCTTTTCCTTTACTTTCCTTTTTTTTCTTTTTTCTTTTTTTTTTCAGTCTTTTTATATGAGGTGTATACCTCTAGCATGCCTCATGAAAAAAACGCATAGGCGTACGCCTCTTGCACCTGAGGCGTAGGCCTCGGAGGTGTCAGCGTCTTTGGCATACACTTAAGGGCGTTTTTGGAGTGCCTCGCCTGGAGGAGGCGCACCTCCAAGCATATGCCTCCCATGCCTTTTAAAACACTGTCCATGAGAAGTAACCATGTGCAGCCATATGCGAATATACTACTATATCAAGCTATATCAAAAGTAGCACTTAAAGTAATGTTTCCCATTGTTGAATAAAGTGATCAAAGTTATTGACCAAAAAAAAAGTGATCAAAGCTAAATACTTTGAAATTCTTATATATCATAGCCCACTGAGTCGAGGTTCTCTCTATCTTGCTGGTGATAGTCTCCAAGAAAGAATACATGTTGTCGCGTATGCACCCATTATACATTTTTTTTTTCTCTCCATACATACCAACAGAGAGTAAAGGGAAGCTCCAGAGAATGGTACTCCAATGAGTAAAGCCTCTTACTGCTACTTGCCATATAGAGATGTGCATTGGAGGTAGTTGACAATATCCCATTTTCTGCTACAAAGCCACAGAAAATGATACCAGACCTTGTAGAAACACAGTGGATTAGCAAGTGAGAAGCTGATTTCTCTCCTGATCCACAAACTTATTTAGGTGCTCTCTCAAGGTTTCACCCTCTCAAAATCTAGTGATCAATAGTAAGAATCTTGTCCAAGGTTGCCTTCCACATAAAGAAGAATACATCAGAAGAACACATGAGCTTCACACACAAATCAATTTCCAAGGGAAAGAGTGAATCATCAACCCAAGGACAGTATCATAACATGACTTTCCTAATCCCTTTGGAGGTAAGAGGTCAGATTGAGAAACTTCAACGTGATTTTTTGTGGGATGATGGTGGAGAAAAAAGGGCTCATCTTGTAAGCTGGGAGAAGGGCATATTAAGGAAAGAAGCCCTGCTCTTCTTGGCAAATGGTTGTGGAGGTTACCCCTTGAACCAAATACCCTTTGGACAGCCATCATCAGAAGCAAGTATGGGCTAAACACGAACCGATGGATATCAAAGTCCACTTGATCTGAGAGAATGCTGCAAACCCTTGGGAAGGTGTTTCCTCTTGTTATACTACTTTTATTCCTTTATTAGATACAGGGTGGGGGATGGTAATAAGATTAAGTTTTGGACTGACCTTTGGTGGGGAAATCAAACCTTAGCTGAATCTTATCCCCACTTGTTTCTTCTTTACCCAAATTCAGGGAACTACCATTGCCACCTGTCTCCTTTCTTCTTCCTCTGGGATTCGTTGGAAACTTAGCTTTAGAAGACCTTTAAGGGAAGTGGAGATTGCTGAAGTCATAGATCTCCTACTCTCCTTACAGGAGGTCTACTTCTTACCTTCCTCTTTAGACAGGTGCATTTGATCCTTAACCCAGCCGGAAAATTCTTGAACAAGACTTTCTTCAAGGCTCTCATTTCAGGTGAGCAGAAGATCTGGAACACTCTTGCTCCTTTGAGAGTTTCCTTCTTCGTGTGGAAGCTTGTCTAGGGAGAATAGACACCTGCGACCTAATCCAGAGAATGAACAAAGACAGATAATGTATTTCTCCGCATGTTTGCATCTTGTTTCTCCAAGGTGGTGAATCTATAGAGCATCTCCTTATTCATTGTACCGAAACGAGCAAAATTTGGAACCTGGGAAAAAATGAGGAAAATTTGGAATCATTTTCTGCATATGTTTAATTACAGTTGGGTAGCCTGACAGATACTCTAGCAAAACTAGGAGTTGATGGGCCTACTCTATTTTGCGCAAAACTGCAGCTGGTTGTAGCAAAACAGAGAGATGATGATCCTTGTAATCTAGGACAAATTGTATATTGCTATACTCTGGACTGCAGAGTACTAAAGCACTTGTAATCTCTTTCTAAACTAATAAATAAAATCTCTTTGCTGATGAAAAAAAATTACAGCTAGGTAGCCCCTGAACATGTTTCAGATCTTCTTAGACAATGGCTTGGTGGTGGCTTGGGACAGAGAGGGAAAGCCTACTGGAGAACTCTACCCATGCTGTGCTGTGGGGAGTGTGGGAACTGGGAAGAACGAAATGAGAATTTTTGAAAACAAGAAAAGAACCATTGAAGATCTTATTTCTCATATAACCTTATTATGTAACATGTGGATGACTGGTTCTGAGATATTCAACGATACCCATAAACCTGTAGCCTGATCCGATATCCGATCCGATAATCTTGGATTCGGATGGGGTAAATGTCATATCAGATCGGATTCATATGGTAGAAGTAGAATCTGATTAAAAATCGGATCGAACTTTGATTCACCCCCATCCGATCTGATAAAAGTTTGAGTCCAATATGTATATTAATATGAATATATTTTTTTATACGTTAGTGTAATAAATAAAATCTCTTAGGGGTAAATGAGGAAATCTGTTCCTCAAACCCCTAGTCGGCCAGTCCTAAACCCTAAACCACTCGACATTTTCTTCTCAGCCCAGGTTTTCTTCTCTCTCGCTGTTGCTTTGCCGTTCTCTCCTCTCTCAACTCTCACTCTCTGCAACAACCAACAAGATTACAAGACTACAACTCTGCATTCCCCGCTCAACTCTCATTGTTGCCGTTCTTTTTTGCTGTTTCCACCCTTTTCTTCATTCTTGCCATTCCCCTCTCTTCACCTGCAAGGAGTTTTCTTCTCCCATTCCCCTCTCTGCAACTGAAGTCCAAACACAATACTTGAGCTAAACAGTGGACTGATTCGACTGAAGAGTGAATCTTCTCAATTGAAGCAAGCTACCACTTTTGAATCTTCTCATTCTCTCAACTAAACAAAAACAGCAAGTTCCTTAATCCTTATTTTTTCATTTTCTTTTGATTATTTTGTTTGATAATTTTTTACTTGTTTTGTTATTTGGTTTCTTCCTTTAGCTGTAGGGCAAGTGTACACAGATTACAGGTTTAATTTAGTTACAGGTTACATGTTTAAATTACAGATTACAGGTTTAATTCGATCTCCAATCTCCTATTCTTGTTTGTTCTGAATAAATTACAGGTTACAGATTATCTTTTCATTTGTTCTGAATAAATTACTTTTGTTTCAAGTAAAAAATTGTTTTATTTCAAAACTTTTGAATAAAAATTTAAGTTTTACAGATTACAGATTTTTTTCAAAACTTTTCAGTAAAAATTACAGATTACAAAATTTCTTTACTTTTGTTTTATCTATGGTAGCATCAGTCGGGGTCGGATTAAAATCCGAAATCCGAAAAATCTGATCGGATTCAAAATCAGATGCCCTCCACACAATCTGATTGGATTTGGATCAGAGTCGGATGCAGCTAACGTCCTGTCGATTCCAACTCGGATTTAGACGAATCCAATCCGATTACAGGCCTAATTCAAAGGTGTTACTTTTTCGGACCTTCAAAGGAACGTAGTGGAGGTTCTCAACTCCTCTCTATTGAACCTAGCTGCTGTCAGAGCTCTTCCAGGCCAGGAGGAGGCGGGTGCAACTTTAAGCTTTGAAGGAAGTGCTTTTAGTAATCCAGGAGAGAGAATACGAGGTGTGATCAGGGAGGAAGATGGAAATATTTGTTGGGATTTCAGTGGCCCAATAGGGGTTGCGGACTCTATAAAAGCTGAGATTTTGGCTCCTCTAACAGGTCTTTGAATTGCTAAGGTCTTGGGTATCTTCCAAATAACCATGGAAGGAGATTCTGCAAACACTATAAAATGGTTAGGGGATAAGGACACATTGGGCCTTGGCGTTTTATTCATTATTTGGATGAAGCACGAGACATCATAACCCAATTTGAATATAAGGATTAGATGGATTCCTAGGGGATTAAATTCTGTGGCTAATGGTCTAGCTAAATCAGGGGTTCTTAGGGATTCTTTGTTTAGTGACTCCATGTTACCCTTGTATTTTATTTGGAGAGTCTTTGTCTACAGCTGTAAACCTTCTCGTGTACCCTATGCTTCTTCTTTAATGGAATTGTTAACTTCAAAAAAAACAAAAAAACAGAAGAAGAAGAAGCATTATGGTTAGCCTTCCAAAATCTTGAAACTTCCTCCCCCTAAGGAAATTCTGGTTCTATTAGGCATGCCCAGAAGATCTACCAACATGCCAGCTTCACAATCACTGATGTGGTAACAAAAAAAATCATGGGTTCCATCAGTGTTTTAAAAGCGCAAGGCACAGGGGCCAATTTGCGCCTGAGGCGCAAGGCGAGGCGCATGCCTTTTTGAAGCAAGGCGCAAAAATACAAAAAAAAAAGCTAAAAATAAAAAATGTCAGAAAATAAAAAATTCCAAAAAATTCAGAAAAAACTTTAAACATAATATTAATAAAAAATATAAACTTAAATTTTAAAATAAATGTTTAAAAAAACCTATTGTCTAAAATTAAAATACATAAACATAACATGTATTCAAATGAAAATTAAAAAAAAAATAAACGTATAAAACATTTTCAAGCATGTAAAACCCACTAACTCTTTTTTTTTTTCCACAATTGCATTACTTCAATTAGCTAATGTGATGTAAAACATATAACATATTGCATTACTCTGAGAGTCCCGTATTTGCTAATGTTGTTCATTCATTCTAATAAAATATCTTCTCAAAAGGCAATTAAAGTTATAAAATCACTGTTTTTATGAGAATTAAGAATTTATGACCCTAACATGGACTTGCTTGGGCTTGCCTCGAGGGGCATTGCACGGGGTCCAAGGGCGGAGCCCCCGGCCCAGCCACTAGGCTCAAAAAAGCAAAAAAAGGTGAAATTTTCAAAAGGTGCACGCCTGAGCTGAGGTGCAAGGTGCATCAGGTGCATTGCCTAGGTGCACCAGGCGTGTGCCTTTTGAAAGGGCTATGTGTAGGACCTAGGCAAGGTGCATACCCTAAAATGTGCCTCACCTGTGCGCCTAGGCATGCCTCAGGCACACCTTTTAAATCACTGGGTTCCATACCTCCTGACTGCCCACCACCTCATAGCATTCCTTGGGAGTGGCATTTTGAAGTGCAGCCAGACTCTACATGTCTAATTAAATAGTCAATAGCCACATATAAGGTCTTTGTCTGCAGCACCACCAACTCCTATCTTTAACATTATAGCGTGGCCCTTGCATTAATAGTATTGTTCATTATTCAAGTTTTGTCATTTGACTGGATTTCCAAGATCAGATGGTGTCTTGTAGTCTTGGTAAAAATGTGAGGATTTCTAGCTATGTTCTTTACCAGTTAATGATAAAAAGGTTCTAGCAATGTTATGGAAGTCATAATTTTATTCTGATTCATAGATAAAAGGAATCATACCAAACATTTGGTGTGGTCCAAAAGGCATACCGACACTTCTTAATAGGAGTCAAATACCAAAACAGGAATGGGCCAAGGGTCAGATTTTGGAGAGACCCTTTGTGGAGTGACTTCCCATTTATCTATTTCTGTTTGCCATTGCACAAGGAAGCACTGTTGGCAGAATATGTCATGATTTATAATGGGGACCAATGTGCTTTGGTGCCCACAGTTCAGAAGGAAAATGAATGATTGAGAAGTTCAGTCTTTCGCTGACCCATTGTCCTTTTTCAACAACCTGGACCCTACAGCTGCAGGAAGCTTTCTTAGTTTAAAAATATGGTGACCAGTTGATTCTTTGAAGAAGGTAGCCTTTCTGGCCTGGATGGATAGCTACACTGGAAGTGTTTAACAATTGAAAATCTCAAGAGGGGAGGTATGTTACTGTACAATTTAAGTTTGTACTATTCTCACCACACCCAAAAAAACAGTCAATCACGTATTTCTGCAGGGGTTGATCAAAAGAGGCAAAGTGGTATAAAATATGACACCTTGGAGAGGATGCTTGGATTTTTTGAGAATAAAAGTAGTTTTTGGAGATGTTAGCAAGGAAGAAAATTGGCATGGTTATTTACATATATGGTGCATGCACATCCCATTGAACAGTGTCTTGTTAAAAATGAAATACTTGTTTGGAGTGAAAGCAAGGTTCAAAATTAGGGGTGCAAATGGATCAGATGATCTGATCCAAGATCCGATCCTATTTGGTTGAATTCGGATCACCCCTGTTTGGATCTTCAGATTGGATAATAGGATTTGATTAGAAATCGGATCGGATTCGGATCACTCCTATCCAATCCGAGAAGATCCGATCCGATATATATTATATATTTATAAATATAAATATATATATATATATTTGCTATTTGTTTATTTATAAATATATTTTTATTATATTTTTATAAATTTGTTATATTATTTACTTTTTTACAAAAGTAAATTTTGATCCTTGAGTGAAAGTTATCCCATTGTCAATCCACATCCAGCATATGAGTAATTGCTACCACCAAGCAATGCTAAAATTGCAAAGGTGTGAAGTAAGGCGCTGGGATTTTTATATGCATGAAGGTGGGGCTTAAGCCTCTTGAGGAACCATTTTATTAGGAAAAATATGAGACTGGCTGGAGAAGTATAGAACAACTGAGAAGAACAGTATTGGGCCACTCTACCTAATGAACAAAGACCTTTTTAAATGGTTGTGGCGCTTTGGAAATGAGAACAGTCTCTGTGGAAAACTGATAAGTTGTAAATATGGTGAATCAGGTCTTGGATGGAAAACCTCTCAGCCGCAGGCACCCTATGGTGTCAGTGTTTGGAAGGACATTGTGAAGGATAAGAACTGCTTTTTTTAACCATATATCCTTCAAACCAAGCAATGGTGAGAATATATTTTTCTGGAAGGACACATGGTGTGGCAACAGTCCTCTAAGCTAAACTTTCCCCAATTTGTATGAAATAGCTCAAGACAGAGGCCAAAATTAGTGATTACTTTGAGGAAATTGCCAACCAGATTGTGTGGAGTCCTTGTTTCAGAAGGAATGAAAATGATTGGAACTTGCCCAACATGGTAGTTCTGCTTAATACCCCAAGTCAGATCACTATCAACCCTTTGGGGAACTGTTTTATGTGGTGAATGGGGATAGTTCAGGAAAATTCACAGTTAAATCCTTTTATCACATCCTGGCAGGGGCTGATGGTACTCCAATTCCTTGGAGCTGGATCTATAAAGTTAAGTTTCCATCAAAGGTGTCATTATTCATTTGGACAGCTGTTAAGGGGAAGATACTCATGATTGATAATCTCAGAGGTAGAGGTTTTGTCATTACAAATTGCTGTTTTCTGTGGCTTGGCTGCAGAATCAGTTCAGCATCTGTTAATTCACTGTAGCTACACATAAAGGGTGTGGTTTCACTTTCGGAAGCTATTTGGTGTTTCAAGGGTATGCCCCCTTACCTGTGCTGCCTCGTCTCTGCCTGGAAATCAAATGCTTCTAGTCGACATGGAAGAATTTCCTGGAATGTCACTCCGGCTGCTATATGCTGGTTCACATGGGGAAAAAGGAATAGGCTTTTCATAACAGCAGCTGTCCAGTTGAGAAAGTATGTGCAAAGGTGGAAAGGAACATTGCAAGATGGGTATTGATAACCAAGGAATTTGCTGGTTCTAACTTTCCCCATTTTGTAGCTAGTTGGGATAAAATCATCTGGGATGTTTCCTTCAGCTTGTACTTGCCTATCCTTGTTCTGAGTCTTTGATGGTGCTCTTGGTGTCTCCCTAGAGCTGTACTGAGGGAACCTCTCTTTCGCATTTCCACTTTTTTCATTAACGCATTTCATATTGATCTTTACCTTCCAAAAGAAGTATAGAAACATTGAGGGGTATCTTTTATTATAGGAAGGGCATATTGTAAGAATAAGAGATCATTTTAACAAGAATTATAATAGTATCCGGGTCTTTAGAGAAAGTCATCACATTCTTACAAACCATTTAATAACTATTAAAAAGTGTTGAATATAAAATACTACATCAGAATGGTTTGCATATATTTAAGTGTAGATACCAGCACATAAACATATAGATGTGCACATAAACGTCTATACTATCTCCTTATCTATTTTCTGGGATGAACCTCAAGCTTGAGCTTAAGGCTTTTTCCTTGATGCTAACTAACCTTAGGGTGAGCCTTAAGGCATGAGCCTTGTATGCTTTTTTAAATCACCAAGTTTGGCGCTTGTAAGTTCTAGCTCACAGAGAATAGTTTAAACCTTGTATTAATGATGCATGGACTTAAAAAAAGGCTTTAGAATGGATTAAAAGCTTGAACTAGTTTTTTTAGTAAGTGTTTTAGAGCAGTAGTTCCTTTACATGAATTGAATAAATTGTAATACTTTAATCAGAAGATTCTTCTTGACAAGAAAAAACTTGATGATTAGATTGAATTAAAATCCTTGGGATTCCTACTTTGAATTGTGAATCTTCTCTTAAATCATGTGAACTTTGATTTACAGATTTTTTTTTTTTTTAATTTCTCCTGCAGCATATATGTAATTGATTTGGGGTCTGCACATGGTACATTTGTTGCAAATGAGAGATTGACAAAAGAAAGCCCTGTTGAGCTTGAAGTGGGACAATCCTTGCGATTTGCTGCATCAACAAGAAGCTATATTTTGAGAAAGAACAAAGCAGCCCTTTTTCCTCCCCCACCTCTACCCTCAGAAGTCAATCTACCACCCCCTCCAGATCCTTCCAATGAAGAAGCTGTTTTGGCCTATAACACAGTCCTGAATCGTTATGGTCTTGGCAAAACAGACTTGTCTAAATTTGCCAAGAGTTCAGGAAGCTCTACGGTTGGAACTGATGATGGCAAGTCATTGGAGAGAGCTTCTAAAAGAATTAGGAAAACAAGGGTGGCTTTCAGAGATCAAGTTGGAGGAGAGTTGGTTGAAGTTGTTGGGATTTCTGATGGGGCAGATGTTGAAACTGAGCCCGGCCCAGTTGGTGTAAAAGAAGGTAGTCTTGTTGGGAAGTATGAATCCCTTGTACAGATCACTGTTATACCCAAAGGAAAGGAGCAAGCCTCATCCAAAGAGGACAATTTCTCCCCAAGGGGTGTGACTGATAAATTACAACAAGTCTTGAACAAAGTCAGAGCTGCTCCAAAGAGTGGTGGAATTTATGATGACCTTTATGGGGAATCATTTTCTGGTAAAGTGGGTTCATCTTGGGCACATGCTTCAGGTGGTAGTGGGGATGGACAAACTGCTATATCTAAAGATACTGGTGGGAATGGTACAAGTGGAAAGCAGGCTGCAAACCTGGGTTACGATGATGATGATGATTTATTTGGTGATTCAGTGCACGATTAAACACCACAAGCTTCTTCTGGGTGGTGTCATCCTGTTACTGATTTGATGATATTCGGTTGGAATCATATTACCAAGGGGGACTTCTATGAGGTATAGTTTCCTACTTAAATCTGTACGTGGAAAGTTTTCTTGTAATTCCTGATTTTCTTCCTTTTCTTGTTTCTGAATGATACGCGGCTCCAGGGTTGACCCTGTTAACTCATTCAATTTCTTGCAGATTTAATACCATCTTCTTGTAGAATAAAAGATTAGGAAAGGGAAATGTGGGGAAATCTTTGGCGATACCAGGTACTTAGGAGGTCCAGCATTGAGCCATGTTAGCTTGGATATTCTTCTAACCCAAAGGGGCATTATAATGGTGGAACCATTGTCTTGGGTGCAAGAACTCCAGAGCCTCTCTAAGGAGCCATATTTTATGCGTCTCTGAATATTATTTTCTTTGCACATGGCGTTTTCTTGTTTTTGAAATGGCATTTTTACAACAATATTCTTCACCCCAATATTTTTAAAATTGAATCCGGTTATCCTTGCAAGTCCCCAGCCTTTTTGCAATTGGAAAATGGCCTTCTTCTTCCGTTTTGTTTCATGTAGGTTGTTTTTGTTTTTGTTGTCTGTCATAAATCATCATTTGCCACTGAATGGTTGTTGAATGGATGAGAACCTAGTTGGTATTCAAATTAGTTAAACAATTACTAATTAAAATTCTCTACCTACCAAAAGAGAAAATCTTAGATCAAGGGCCAAAACTTTAGATAAAATGAATATAAAATTGAGTGGTGCCGTAAATCTGTAATGTTGTCTCGACATATTTTAGCTGTCAAATGATCAGAGTATTTAAAATGAACCGACCACCTGTTGGGTGGTACATAAAGCAACTTCAGAGAGGTTATGGGATTTTCTGCGAACAACTGGGCAATTGTAGACATAGAAGTATCTTGAGTGCTCTTTTAGGCCCCTCGTTTCTATTTATCTGGGGAAGTACGTTTATTCATGTAATTGTTTCTCGAGTAAAACCTGTCCAGCTAAGTGAGGTTCCAGCCTTGTTGTGCAAAGGGCCGGCCCCTTTTATTCATGGGAGATTGTCATTCATTCCAGATAAGTGGAGTCTCGCCATTCTGAACAATGATCAGTAAGATCATAGAAGAATAGTATGTTTATGTGGCACCTTCCCCATCTAATGAAGCTAACAAGTCTTGCAACAAATGCATTACGCATCGAAGAATAGTATGTTTATGTGGGACCTTCCCCACATGATATGACAATTGCTTTGCTTTTGTGCATAAATGGACTTATAATATGTATTTATATAAAAAAAAGCACTTATAATATGCGTAGAAGAAGCTGGACTTATAATACACCGACTTGGTTCCAGTTTGACATATGAGTGGCATCAAAGCTCAGTTTGGAAGGAGTACAAATACAAGCCACATCTCACGTCCACGGGTGTTCTAATTGTGGACGGACTGTGGATTGGTCCAGTGTACATTTACAGTGGTGTTTTATTTTTTGATTCTATGTATCTTATATATAGTTTATGAAGTTATTTAATTAGTCGATTATATATGTTTAATTTTTATAATTTATATAATAAATAAATTGAAAAAAGGCAATGATAATTAAATATTAATTTTAGCAAAAATGATAATAAGATAATTTTAACCAATAAACTTTAGTGCCTTTGTAGGAGGTTTCTCATGCAAGGCATATTTTGGTAGGTGATGTGTGATGCACTGATGCATTTGGTGTTAGGTTGCATGTTAGACGCCAAGCTGAAGTATGACATGCAATGTTTTTTTCTTTTTTTGTGGTCATCTTTCGGGTTCATTCCATGGTGTGGACCGAAATGGGCCATCCATGAGATAATCACGGTAGTGAATATCACCTTATTTTAAGGTTTTTTAATATTTAATTTAAATGTTACAAACATTATTTTCCACCCCTTCTGAAATTTTGAAAAGAAAACTAAAATAAATATAAAAGCATTAGGTTCAAAATACTGATACATCATATCAGGGTGTATTGGTATTTTGAACCTTGAGTAGCATAGCTTGTTCAACATTCTTAATGACAAATTGACAAGGGGTCAATTTTTATTTATCCTCACCTGAAAAATCTTTATTACATTGCATAGTTGGGAATAGTGATAATTGATAATGGAGGATTTAAAATAAATACAAGGGGGTACTGTATCATAAATGGGGTTTTGGAAGTTTTATGTATGTATCTTTATTATGTTGCTAGTGAGAAAATTTTCTTCATATTAATTATTTGAATTTTAGATTTTATCATAGATAAGATAGAAATTGAAAATTAAAAAAAGTAACAATATGATTAAAAATAAACTTAAATGCTTGTAGCAAATAACAATTATTATTATTATTATTATTATTAAATTTTGTATTCAAATTCTATTATAAATAAAAATAACTCTTCTTTAACAATTATTTTTATTTAATATGATGAATGTATAACATTAGAAATGTTTTTGACAAAATTCTGTACATTTTCATTTTTGGTGTTCTATCTTTTTTTTTTAAATATTTATTACTTAATTATGACATCATGTTTCTTTGAAAAGTTGGATCATTGACCCACCATCTAGATAAGAAAATAACTTTGCTTTTAGATTAGTTTTAAATTAGAGAAAATTATAGTCAGAACCTGCTGTACATTTAAAATTAGGCTACAAGTTGGTCCATAAACCAACAAAACTCTGACAACTGGCTATACTTTTCAAATTATAAAAACCCTTGCCATGTCATCGAAGCTTATGTGGCTATTGCCAATATGGGACTCTTAATCCATGTTGGACACAACAAAAAGCTTATACCAAAATTGCCCTTTAATGTTGGGTGATTGGAAAATAAAAAAGGGTTTTTAGTTTCTCTCCCTCCCTCCCTTTCCCCCTCCCTCTCTCTTAATCTCTTTCCCATTCTCCCATTCTCCCATTCTCCCACTCTCACAGTCGTCTCTCTCTGCTCAATGACTGTGTGATTTGAAAATCAATAAAAATGCTTTCCAGTTTGTATATTTATGTTCTCTCATTCTCTTTCTCTACCTATCATTCTCCTTCTGTTTATCTCATTCTCTTTTTCGGTCGATCTCTCATTCTCTCATAATTTCTATCATTCTCCTTTAGTTTCTCTCCCACTCATTCTCTTGTTCTTTATTTTTATTTTTATTTTCTTACACTTATATGGTACTAATCGGATTGTATAAAAGAACATGAGACCAACTTGGTATAGTTCAAAAATCATTACACCAATTTGATAAAAGTTCACAAGAAACTCTTATCTATGAAATTTACAYCAATTTGATATAAATTTATAATTTGATTGTACAAGTGGTTGGTCCCTCTAGTTCTTTTATATGGTCTGGTTAATATTATAAAAGCTTGTAAGAAAAATAAAAAAAGAATGAGAGAAAGATTAAGGGAGGAGATATTAACCGAGCGAGCGAGCGAGCGGGAGAGAGAGAGAGAGGTTTTGATTTGGCTACAGACTGAAGCTGAGAGAGTGGGAAATTGAGAGATGATTATAAGAGTGGGAGAGAAGGGTGGGAGGTTGAGAGACGAAGAGAGCGGGAGAGAAACTGTAAACCTATTTTTGATATAGGTTTTTCATTGTCTAACATGGATTAAGAGTTCCATGTTGTCAACAACCACACAAGTATCTGATGACATGGCGGGGGATTTTATAATTTAAAGTGTAGAGCTGGTTGTTAGAGTTTTGTTAGTTTCTGGAACACAACATAATCTTAAATGTATAACCAGTTTTGACTATAACTTTCCCTTTAAATTATATATTTCATTTACATTATATAAATAATTTTTACTTATCACACTTGATTTTTGTTTGTTTATGATATCATTTGACCCAAACTACTAACCCACCACCTAAAAAGAAAAATAGTTTGCTTTCTAGGTTGACATTAAATTTTCTATTATATTTCCATTATTGGTAAAATTTTTTCTTATATATAATACTTATTTTTGTTCAATATAATGAATGCATAATATTAGAGATGTACCCAATATTTTATTTTTTTTATAAATATATAACATTAGATATATGTCCAAAATTTTCTATCTTTTTTTTTAATTTTTGTGTTTCTTTGTTTGGCATTCCATTTTCATCATTAATGAAAATACTTCTTACATTTTATACTTATTTATTTTAAATTATTATTATTTAATTATGGAATTATTTATTAATCCATTTGACTCCAAATGATTGAATCGAATTGCTTGCCCACCATCGGGAGGGAAGAAAATGATTATGTTTTCAAATTATTTTTCAAAATATTTATTTTATACTATTAAAATTAATATTGTGGGCTTAATTACAAGAATTTAATGATTTAAATTTTACAATCCATTTCCATCATGAATAAAAACTTTTATTATTTATCATACTTATTAAATGTTTCCAGTTTTTTTTTTAAATTTCTATTTTTTTCATTTTATTATTTAATTGTGGCAACATTGACTGACCCATTTGACCCAAAATGGTCTAATTTCTTACCACCACCTAGATGAAAACTCTATTTTCTCTAGGTAAATTTTAAAAGTATAAGCTTTTATGTTATTGGAATTATTATTAATTAAGTATGGATTTAATTAATAGAACTTAATGATGATAAGAAACAAAAATAACTTAAATATATGATTCATTGAACATGAATGCAATTTAATAACTTAAATGTTGGATTTAATGAGAGGGAATTGAATGCATTAAATATCATAAAATTACCTCTTTTCAACTTATTTAATATTAATACTGGTTACTCTATTTGCCCTCATTTTTTATCAATAAATTTAAAAACAAAGGGATAAATTTTGTTCTCAAAAAACTCCAAAAATATTCTTTTATATATATAGAGAGAGGTTCAACAAAAGCTTATACCAGCTACCGCCACCGATATATAATGATGATGACAATGATAGGAATGAAAACAAAGATAAAAGATTTAACTAGGAACTCGCATAAACATACTATTACCATCTTTATCTATATTTTATTTACTGTCAATACCCAGATATGACACACAGAGAGAGAGAGAGTCGCATCAATTGATATTTGACCTCCGTGATCTATAATCGAGCAGAGTAAGACCTCAGCAGTCCCTTTCGAATCTGTTCACGTTTCATCCATTCCAGGAGACACTACAACAAGCAATTAGAAATGAATCAGTTTCAAAACATAGATCATGGAAATTTTGTCATTTAAAAGATGGAAAGGGACTGGTGGTCTGGATGTTTGATGGACATCCATCCTTGGCTTTCACCCAACAAAAACAATTCTAATTCTGACCCTTGAACAAATTCCCATTTCCAAGACATAAGAACTTGTCCGCTCTTACAGCCCTAAATAAATCCTTGATAGGTTGAAGGCTTATTCATCTGGGCAGCTGACCAGAGAGAGAGACTTCAATAAGCACCTTCATCCTTCCATTCTCTTTCTTCAATTCATGTATCTCCAATTGCAGCTGAGCATTGTAAGCCTATGGTAGTGTGAGAATAAATAAAAAAATGATCAGAACTAATTGGTGAGATAACGTATATACCTAAAAAAATCATTAAAATTTACATGCAGTTGATCATTCAATTAAAAGTTTAAAACCCTCTGTGGCAGCCTTTGGTTTTGTGCCTGTTTGCGAGGAGTTCAAATCAATCCTCCACAAGACTGCGCCTCATAACGTCCCAATACATGCCCCCACAGGAATGATGATGTCATTATCGGAAGATATTTCTAATACACGACAGGAATATGTTGTGGGACGTTGTGGGGGATAGTGTTGTGGTGGGTTGATTCGGTCTTATTTACAAGGGCTTTCATATAGCAGCTTCTAGTGTTGTATGGATAAAAAAAACCTGAAAAGTAGTGAAGCCCTATCCGGTAAAAAAATCTGGAAAGTCGAAAATAGGCTTACATGAGCCTAAAAGTTGATTTTCCGGTTAAGGCAGCTCATTCCCCGTAGAAAACCCACCCAAATGGGCTGCTAACATGTGAGGTGAGCCTCACCCGGACAAATATTTGGTGACAGGATTCCCTGCAAATAAAAATTCTGCACACACTTTAAAAGCATAATAATCTAGGGGCACTTTTTGGGAATATCTCCTCATGAATTTTACATGTAGAAGATATTCCCAATGTGCAGCTGAAAGTTTATTGGGCCCTTGGCCATGTTAATATGTTACAGTCCAAGCCCTAAACTTTGCCAGATTGCCATATCTGATACCTCTTGTTCTTTGGAGTAGGACTCACATGCTGGATGGGCTGCAATTTGGGCGGGCTCAGATTGGGCATTTATTAAAATTTGAATGGGTCCAGCTCGAAGGCCCAAACTTGAAGCAATATAAAATAATAAGTTAGGCCAACCTGGGTTGCACCCCCTATGCTGATCTAAGAACAAGATTCCCAAAAATCTAAGCACGCCTGGGAGGGTTCAAGTGTTGGTTGGGGCCGTTGGATAAGCCATCAAAAGAAGCTTATGTTGAAATCCCGTTTTTCTGTCTGGAGGACAGCAAATTTGGGCTTTCTGTTTTTTTTTTTCTCAAACATGGAAGTCGAGATCTCCTGCAAGTAGGGCTGTCAATGGATTGGATATCAGTCCAACCTGATCCAGTCCAATATGAGTTCATTATAGATAGACCAAGTCCATTCCAATCCGATAGATGTATTGGACTGGATTGGTTTAATTCATTGTCTTATTGGACCATTCAACCTATTCAAATTGGTTTTATTTCAGATTGCATCCAACTCAAATGTGGCCTATTGACACCCATACTCATGTCTTCTGCCAATAGACTGGATGTTGTTGGTTTAGCCTGATTCATAAATCCAGACCGGTCCAACTCATTGTCTTATTGGACTGTCCAATCCATTCAAATTGGTTTTGATTTGGACGAGGTCCAACCCAAACCTAGTCAATCAACACCCCTAATTACAAGCTAAGAGCACTGCTTACATAGCATCCAACTGCAGAATAAGAATATCTTCTGTACATGTATGTTAAACTCATGAGGAGATGTTCCCAATGTTTGTATGGATTCTAAAACTTTAGACCTTGTTCGCATTTCAGTAAGTTACTTACCCGGGTAAATGCACTTACCTAGGTAATTGTTTCACAGGAAAGATTTACCCGGGTAAGTACATTTACCCATGTTCTTTTATTTTCCATGTAAATAAGGCAATGACCATTTTATCCATAAAAATCCATTATTACAAGGGGCATTTTTGTCCCTTTCAAGTGTTGGTAACTTTGCCCCAAGGTGAGAAAGTTATTTACCCACCTAAGAGATGGGTATCACTTACCCGGGTAAGTGATACCTAGGAAAATAAACTTTCCTTGGTTTCCACGTAAATCTAAAAAAAGAATATAAAATTTTTGGTCAATGGGAATCAAAATCCTATTGACCAACTTTCCCCCCTCTCAAAATCCGAAAAAAGAACACCCTCTCATAGAGTATTTGAAGAACTTTTGCTTACAAGAATGAAGAATACAGTTGTTAAAGGGTTTGACTATATTATCAAATGGTATCATAAAAGACATGACCAATAAGGTGGTATTGATCAAATTTATAGGGGTGCTTTGATTAGTGAAAGCTCTTCTCATATAATGTCCGTACGGTATCATAGATTTTTCCCTCAATAATAGGATTCAATGGCGGAATTTTGAATATCTAACATACCGCATGTTATGGCCCCCAAAGGCCCACATCACAACTACTACTTCTGTAGTTGGGAAGATCTCCCATGTTACAACCTGACAAGTTCACATTGGTGCCCCACAGACATCCCAGATACATATCTTAACATGCATCATTGAAAATATTTCCGGTACTTGTAATTAGGAGATGTTCGTTACTTGTAATTGGAGATGTTTCCATACTTTTCTAACCAGCCATTGTAGCATGATATGACACATATCTCCATGAATGGCAAGGGAGATATTCTCAATGTACGACTGTAATAACTTATTAGGACAATGTTGGGAGTGTTTTATTGATAGCAGATTGCTTGTTCTGTGACCAATTACAGTTTACAGTGATAACAGAAAGTCAAAAAAAGGGAAAATTCCCAAGTAGTACCGTATATTTTGGGTTTGTGTCATTTTGGTCTCCCAACTTTAAAATGCGACAATTCAGTACCCAAACTTTTTAAAATGTGTCAATCCAATACCTATCGTTAACTAGCTATTAAGTGGCATTTAAAAAATACACAAATGCCCTTTAAGTGTCATCTAATTTTCTTTATAGACCATCCAAATGTTGACAAAAAAATTAACAATCCCAAATCGTTAGTTCTTCTATTCAAGAAAGTTGAGGTCATGCCTCAGTGGGCATTCTGATGACCTCAACTCTCTTGAATAGAAGAGGCAAGGATTTGAGATTGTTAATTTTCTTGTCAACATTTGGATGGTTTATAAAAAAATTAGATGAAACTCGAAGGACATCTGTGCCTTTTTCAAATGCTACTTAATGGTTAGTTAACAACTACTTAACGGTAGGTATTGGATTCACACATTTTAAAAGTTTGGATACTAAATTATAAGGGTGGATTCGAGTTGAGCCGAATACTTGGTTATTTGAGCTCGGCTTGCTGAAACTGTATTAGGCTCGAGCTCGATTTGAGCTAGAAACTTGAGCTCGAGCTTGGCGGCTCAAAGCTCGCAAGTTCGAGCTCAGCTCGACTCAAGCTCGACTGAAAGCCATTTTTTTTAAATATACATATAAAAATATTTTTTATTTTACATACAAAAAAAATAAGAATTATAAAATTATTTATTATTATACATATAAAAAATAAAAATATACATATAAAAATGTTATTATTTTACATACAAAAAAATAAGAATTATAAAAATTATTTACTATTATACATAAAAAATAAAAATATTATTATATAAAATAAAAATTATTTATTATATATATTTATATGTATATGTATCTATGTATGTATATATGTATGTATATAACAAAAAATATTTATTTAGTATACTAGGCTCACGAGCCGAACTTCACTGGACTCGAGCTCGGCTCGATTAGCAAACAAGCTATATATCAGGCTCAAACTCATTTCGCTCGAATAACTCGTGATAAGCTCAGCTCGTGGCCACCCTAAGGTTATGTTTGGTTTGAAGGAAAAGATAGGGAAATGAAGGCAAAGATAGGGAAACCATATAAGGTTTGTAAAGATTTTCCTACCTTTCCCTTCCTTTCCCTTCTTTTCCCTACTTTTCCTTCGAAGCAAACGTAACCTAAGTGAATTACTGCATTTTTAAAATTAGGGAACCAAAATAACACTGACTCGGAGTACTAATTGGAAATTTTCCCAAAAAATAAATATGAACAAATGTGACGCGCCCATACACACCTGTTTTCTTGCTCGCGAGCGAGCCGCGGACTCTCGGTTCTTAATCATCCTACGGTACCTCCTGCCAACGGCAGCATCGTTGTCTCCTGAGTTCTCGCCAAATTCCTTCTGCCTGCCGACGCCCTTCAACTTTCCGACGTTAAACCCATTAATCACTTCATAAGACCCGTACAGTGGGTGTGGCAGAAACCCAAATCCTCCCTGCTCAACACCCAAACTCGAATTCCTTCTACGTTCTAATTCTATGCCGTTGCCAATTCCTCCACTTACCTGAAACTGGTTGAACTGGCCGGAACCCAACCCGCCTCCGATAACTAACGGCCATGCGTCGTTGCTTGTCTGGCTTGGAATTGCCATCCCGTTCTGTTCATCCTCGAGGAAGTAGTGACGGGCTCCGCCGAGAGCTTGGCCTGGTTGAGAGGCCATGGGCGTCGTTGGGTTTTGCAGAGATGGTGGTGCTGTCCCTGAAGGCATGCGGAACCGCGGTGGCTTTGGCTCTTCTCGGTTGGTCTGAACTCTGAATTAAGGAGTTGGTTCGATGATTCAGATATCTAGACGATTAGAAACAGATTAAAAATTGAATAACAAAACTACAATGAGAAAATTGAACATGAACAAATGACATAAAAGAATCTTGATGAGGCTTATAGTATATATCATAATTTCATGAGAAAAATTTCAAATTTCATGTTCCATTTGTCTCCAGACTTTCTGATCAACCGAAGGTGACAAGTTTATGTATTTACACCATCTAATCAAGAAGTAGGTATCTCATGTATTGTATTGTGTTACAAGTAAATTACCTCCAAGAAATTCCAGACGTGGTTTATTTCCATCAATAAATCAAAATGTTGAACACAGAAATCACCAATCACAATTCTAATGTTTTATTGAGTACCCATGAGAGAAAAGAGAGGCAAGGAGAAAATCGTGTAAAAATAGAATCATTTCAGAACATGAAGCGATCTAGTTGAATTCTGACATAGAGAAACCGGTACTAGCTAGAGAGAAACCTGCATGCAATATGGCAGAGATGCCCTTAAATTAATCAACTGTTATTTAAAAGCCAAAGGTGCAGCAAAAGCAAATCAAAATTTGAATTCAAACTACCAATAATAAAAACTCGAGTTGATTTGAACATAAAAGAGTTGGAGATTTTTCCAAAAATTTAAAAGTTTTGAAAAGATCAGAAATCAATGACACGAATGACTAATGGAGTAAAATTTTTGGAATCGAGAGAGAGAGAGAGAGAGAGAGAGAGTCCAGCATTAATTAAAAGCAAATGTGACAAACAAAAGTAGGATTACCTGCAACTTTTGCATTCTTTTATCTTTCTTTCCTGAAAACTGGTTTTGACCAAACTGGCCAAACCAATTTCCCAGTTTTGAAGTGGTTGAAACAGAATGATTTATTGCTTTGTATTTTAATGAATAAGCCATTACGTAGGGTGTGAACTCCTTAATGGCTGAACTGCAGCATACTAGGTTAGTTACTTTTCCTCTAAATATTCTATTGTAGGACTATTTTATTCATTAAAAGACAGCTGTAAAGTCATCAAGTTCAACCATTATCACTGTGAGAAGAACATCACTTCGAGTGATGACAAGATAATTGCAGAGTAATGGTGAAAGTCCTTCATTTGATAAAAAATTCAGACAATTAAATGAATCGTTTTTCCCTTAGCTATTATTTCAACAGAGATGATAATATTTGGTGATAACTTCAAATTACATGACTGGAAAATAGCCGATCGAAGACTGAAACAATTGCTTGATGAAGAAAATCTATTGTCATTTTCAGTTTACGCAATGCATTTAGAAATAACAATAGAGATTTTCAGTGACTTTACCTAAACGAAGCTACTAATGCATCAAAATAAAGAACATATTAAAAACAACAAACAGATAAGAAACAGAATGAGAAACAAATTAAAGAAAGGAAATTAAGAATGAGAAAAAACTCAAAAATGCTCACCTTAAAAGCCAGGAAGCGTTTTTACTTTGTTTCCCATATAGACAAATTGGAAGCACTGCAGGGGGTCTTTATATAAGTTTAAGGAGAGTACTGATTCTCTTATTTTGTTTTTTTCAATCTACCCATTTATGAATCACTTGTAATCAGGATTTGCTTCTCACAGAACGTGCCTCACATCAACCTGAGAATGGAAGGTGTTCTCAATGCACGGCTCCCAAGTACTGTGAGGTTGGTGTGAGGCGTGTTCTATGAGGAAATTTGGTATCTTTTAACTTTGGTGCATTTATGGAGTGTAAGTTTCAGAGGATTTGCTGACTTGTCATAATCATAATATTAATTCTAGAATTTTATCACTTTTTCTTTTTGCTGAAAGCTTTTACAATTTAAAGTTAATTTTCCGTGAATTATGGGCGATATTTTATGGCCAAACTTTTATTTTGCCTTAGTGTGATAAAAGTTAATTAATAAGTCAGGCATTGCATGCATATCAGAACTTTTAAGGTTGTGTTTGGTTGCAACGTAAATAAATTTGCACTGATGCAAAACCATGGCAGTGCAAATGATTTGAGTGTAAATTCTGACCTACTTTTGTTTTAAATTTTAGCTTATTTTGTTTGATTGCAGTACAAATGAAGTAAAATAAGACATGAAGCTGAATAACATAAAATCCAAAACAAAATTAAACAAGAATTTACACTTTTTATATTTGCACTTCATGCATTTATACTAGTACAAATAAATTTGCACTGCAACCAAACACATTAGGGTCACTTCTCACTTTGACTCATTATTTATCTAGGAATATCTTTAGTATATGCTCTTATACTTATATTCTACACTTATAGAACTTTTAGGGTTTTCATAATTTGTTTCTATTTAATAATTTCATTTAGGATCCATTTGGATTGTGGATAGGATCGAAGTTGGAATCGAAACCACTTATGCCTATTTGGTTCAATTAAGAATCGGAATTGAATTTTGATTGTTGCTATTTGGTTCATTTTGGAGTTGGAATCAGAATCAATTAAAAAATTTTAATTTTGTATTAGTTAATTTATTAATTTATTAATATTTTATGAATATATGATTATTATTTTATTAATATTTAATAATTAATATCTTAGTATTTATCATTAATTTATGAATATTTATTAATATGTTATTATTATTATTATTATATTTTATTATTATTGAATAATTAATATCTTGTTATTTATCATTAATTTATGAATATTTTATTAATATATCATTATATTATTATTACTTTAATTATATTATTATTATTTTATTTTATTACTAATTTATTATTTTATTATATTTTATCATTGTTTTTTATTAGTTTATTAATATTTTATTATTTTTGTTTATTGTTTTAAAATTAATTATTTTAATTTTAAAATTAATGCATTTTACTTGGCTTTACTTTGGAGTTGGAATGGGCCATTCCAATTCTGATTCTAGGCACCTATTCCTATAAACCAAACAGACCCTTAGAAAAGCTAGGGCCAAACCAGTGAGATAGGTTTAAACTAAAACTAATCTATCAATATCTAAATTTCAAAGTCAGTGTGATAAACAACAAGCAAAAGTTATAGAATGAGAAGAAAAGTACTAAGTATAGCTTTTTTTTATTAGGTTTATTTTCTCAAATTCTAATTTTATTGCATAATTAATAAATGGAAAAAATCTATGATGCAGAAAAGACATAATACCAAAAGGGATTTGACCTATTAAAACCTATACGGATTTTGATAAAAACCCATCTGATTTGTTACCACTTTTGTGATTCTAGCTAATTGGTTGAGTTTTGGGCCCTTAAATAGGAAAACCTCCTTTTTAGGTTGGTTTTAAATTTGTATTTTATTTCTTTCATCAATAAAAACAATTATTCTTTGTCATACTTGTTTTCTTTTAATATGGCCAATTAATATAGAAATAGGAGTTAATACCTTAAATATAAGACTTAATGAGAGGGAATTGGACGAGAAAATATGTAGTAGTTCAAATTACATTTTGTGCCCTTATAATTAGAGAGAAACCAAATTCAAAGGTAAGGGCATTCTAGTCAAGAATATGTTTCAATGAATGTTAATGAGAGTTAATTCCTTAAATACATGACATAATGGGAGGGATTTGAATGAGGAGAAAAGTGGTTTTTCAAATTACATTTAGATATGGACCAAATTCAAAATTTCAGATATTGTACTCAAACAAAAATTTTACACTCTCATTCACACTTTTAATAGTAGTATATTTGTTGCATGTTAAATCAGAATTTCTATTGGTCACATTAAAAATATCACATTGTTTGTTTGCTTTTCATTGATTTACATTACATGAGGTATATTTCACATTTCACAAGGTGTATTGACAATCATAAAAACCTCCCCCAAGGTTTCACTTTCACAAAAACCTCCCCTGTAGAACTGAAAAAACCTGCAATCACCTCCCTTTTCTTATTGTACGTGTGGTACTGTGGAGATAGTTCAAGCTCTAGAGGTAGAGTGTAGGATGTTGGAAAGAACAAGGCATCAAGGGCAAGATTGGATTAGGAAGATTAGAATAGAACTCTTAGGGAATAAAGGATGGAATGATTCTAGGGATAGAATGCTAAACTACTTAGATTGATGGAACGGTTGGAGCTAAAGGAACTCTAGGGTTAAGTCACTAGTGACAAAACTCTAGGGCTAGAATGCTCAATTGCTCAAACCAGTCTTGCTACTGCAACTAGTTTGCAACAATTAGGGGTGGCCACGAGTCAAGCTTCTTATGAGGTATTCAAGCTTGACTCAGTTTAAACCAAGCTTTGAGTCGAGCTCGAGCTTGATATATAGGCTCATTTCCTAATCAAGCCGAGCTTAAGCCTAGTGAAGCTCGGCTCGTGAGGCTCGCAAGCCTAATCAAGCCTAGTATAATAAAAAAAAAATTTTATATATACATACATACATACATACATATATATACATATACATATAAATATTTATAATAAAAATTTTTTATAATTCTTAATTTTTTGTATGTAAAATAAAAAAAAATATATTTTTATATGTATAATTTTTATTTTTTAGAAAAATCTTGATTTGCAGTCGAGCTAGAGCCAAGTCAAGCTCGAACTTGTGAGCTTTTGAACCAAGCTGAGCTCAAGCTCAAGTCTCTACCTCGAGCTCGAGTTTGAGCCTAACACTATTTTGAGCTCAAGTCACCCCTAGCGGCAATACTTCAGTATAAAATGTTAGTCTAATGCATTAGTTTTCAAAAGTACCCACTTTACCCTTATATTTATCACTTTAGATGAAAATTTACTAAAATACCCTAAAAGTTTCACTTTTAATTGAAAAATCTACAAGTTAGATTGAAAAGTGATGGTGCGCGACCTAGTCACTCCTAGCTGGAAGTGGTTGCGCCCCTAGCTGGCGACGGATGAGAGTTACCTGTGAGGAAGAAGGATCCTGAGAGGGTTCTCCAGGCGGGAACACTCCAATGCCTAAGTTAGTAAGCTG